TTAATTTGTATAAATTCATGCACTTGAATTGGTCCTAAGAATATGAGTACCAGAGGAAGAAGATATAGATTAAGCAGAATTAATTTTTACCGGCTCTGAATGACGAGTTCAGTTGACTTAGCCAGTTTCCGTCAGTTTGAGCGCAAATTAGTCCCTCAGTTTTTTTTTTTTTAATTTAATTTTTTAACCAAATACACAGATTCACTGACACATTTAAACGGTTATTAGTCGGAGCCATCTAGATCTGACTACAAAGCAAATATGTGTAAAACCATTGTTTTCAGACATGAGGTTTTGGGTAAAAAATGCATCAGAAAAGCATTTGCAATCGTGATATTTGGTATTCTACACACAAATCTACAAATGAAAATTTTCACTAAAAACTATGAAAAGCGGAGGACTTTATCATATAGCTCCCATTCAAATGATTTGTACAGATATGATAACTAATATTGTATTTAAGCCTAAGTTTAGGGTGGTCGTGAACGGTATAAAATTTCCTTCATGACCGAAGACAGTTCTTCATTCTTGCTTAATGTTAAATTTTTAACACCCAAATGCAAATTGCTAAATTTAATTAAAATATCCGAAATTCGAACATGTGGAAGCATCGAAAGGTTCTAATTGACGAGCGGTTTAATCAAACGTAATAATGAAATTTTCAAAATTTATTACGCAGCAATTAATCAAGTACAAAAAAAATATGTGAGTAAATATGGCATTTAACTTTTTAGACCAAAAAAAATCCAAAAAAACCAAAAAAAAGAAATTTCGCGCTCATTTTCGACAACTTCTTGGATTAAAAATATGCAAATTTTCTTTATTTATTTAAGCAAATGTAAAATTTATTTACAAAAAATTCTTAATTTTCACGAAAATCCAAAGAACTTTAGCCGAGTTTCTAACGAGTGCACTAAAAACTCCTTTTTCTTATTAATTCAATGCAAAATTAATTAAATAAAAATCAAACTTCTCTTAAGCACTCGCTATAATTACACTATAATAACGGTATTCTTTCAAAAAAATTTCCTCCCCGACCTTCATCGCTCACTTACCTTATCAACGTGACACGCCCTCATTACTTTTCAACAGTTATTGTTGTTACATAAAACTTGTTAGTTCACAATTAACTGTAATTCTAGTGAGATCAACTATTGTTGTACTGTGTATTTGCATTGATTCAAAAAGAGAAAACAGACAATCTCACGACTTAACATTTTAACTGCAGTTGTGCATACATATACATATACATATACACAGACATATGTACATATGTTTATATACGATTCTGTAGAGGCACGTCTAGCTGATTTTAAGCAAGTCTCGATTACGAAATTCGCAGAAACTTACAATAACAAGACACTGGTTTTTTGGCAATTTAATTTGCCAAATGTGAGAAGCAAAAGAAAAATATATTACAATAATAAAATAACTGCAATGCATTTATTTACTTTGTATAACATAAGTATATATGCATGGTCATATGTGTACTAGGGTGAGTCATAAATATGCACGGAAAATACTCCCGTCATAACAAAACAAATACAAAGAAGAATAACTCAGCGGCCACAGTGAGAATAGCAATAGTGAATATAGACAACGAGAGAGAGAGAGAGAGAAAATAGTGAAAAAAGACCCACTCTAGTCTTCTTCTTCTTCTACTATACCTTTACTATACCACCTATGCGATTGTAGCCGAGTTAACAAGAGTACACCATTCATTCGTTCCTGCTGCTGTTTGACTCCTATTGAAAATACGAAGTGTAGTCTGGTCCTGCAACACCTGATCTTCCACTTCCTCTGCTTCCAACGGCACATATTACATCGAAAACTTTCATAACATTTCCATCTGGACCACATGATCTAAGCAGAATATCCCAGGCTTTTTTCGCTAAAAATATCAATGTCGCGATGGATCTTATACAGCTCATTGTTCCATCGACTGCTCCAATAAACTTTTCTCTCTATAATTTTTAATGCTGACTCAACAGATTTTGTTATAGTCTATGCCTCCGGGCCGTATAGCATGAATGAAGTGCGACCTTTAAAGTTTGGACTCTTTTCGTCAAGAGAGAAGTTTTCTTTTCAATTGCACACTCAGTCCAGAGCAACAACTGTTGGTAAGAGTGGTTCTGCTTTGGTTTTCAAAGTTGAAAGAGTGGTTGGAGTTAGTGCTGGTTCTAAGAAAGACAAAGTTATCCATAACTTCAAAGTTATGACTGTCAATAGCGGCGTGTGAGCCAAGTCGCGCATGTCGCAACTATTTGTTTGCTGACAGGACGAAATGTCCTTGTTCACTGCCAGACCCACACGCAAAATAGCCTTATCCAGCCTGGATAAAGCCGAACTCACGGCGAGGTGGTTGGGCGCAATGAAACCAATGTCGTCCGCCAATAGTTTTTCACTCGGGTATATTTTCTATTCAGCTCTGCAGCTCCTGTCATCTTCTCTCCTATCAGTTTAATCGAGTCACATGATGAGGAATCACCTTGTCTGAAACTTCATTTGATATCGAACAGATTGAAGAGGTTTTGCCCGATCCTAACAGAGCTTTTGTGTTGCTTAAGATCATTTTACTTATTCGTATAAGTTTTGCTTGGATACCAAGTGCAGAACTCCTCTAGTGCGCAGCAAAATTTAGGCTACATGATTCCAGCACTATTGATGAGCTTCAGAAGAAGCTGCTCTAATCTTAACCGGCTAGCATGTCATATAAAATCAATTCAGTTAAAACTCATCTCTCTTTGCTCCGATCAAATCGAAGCAGTTCGATGACTTATACCGACTTTGCCTGCTATTAAGCAGGGTGTGGTAGACGTTACAACAAGTACAACCGGCGATCACCAAACCCACCTGTGGAAATTTACAAGTGACGCTGAAATTGATGATAGACCATCCAGCAACTAGTTTGCACCACTAATCACAATGGTGACTAAAACCAAAATATGTATGTAGTCCAAGCAGAGGCACACCTCACCCTCCCAACACATTTTGAGCCAAATGTCACGTTTTCCGACCAATTGAGTAATGGGCGTTAAAATTTAATGACGTTAAAGACCCCTGGCTTAAAATATATAAGTAATATTTTTGTTGTGTTTTTTTTTGTTTTGGAGAATAAAAACAGTTTTTGAAGCTTTCATGGTAGGTGAAGTGCACTCTCTTAGTACCTGGGCTATAAGGTAGGACGGGTTAGTACTTTCCATCCGGTATGACTGCCATGAAGATAAGATTTAACAACGTTTGCAACACGGCGATCAGCATTGTCATAATAAGAGGTGAACGAGTTATCTCTGATTGCCCATTGCGGACGGTTTTCCGTGATAGCTCCTTTCGAACATATCAATTGGTCTGATCACTGGTCTGCTCGAAGCATTCTGTCATCGAGACTTTGTTTGATTTGATTTGAGGGACAGAGTGATGCGGAAAGGAAGATGAAGGAGCAGTTGGAGAGGGAGCTGGCTTCACTTGAAATCAGATTTTTCTAACCACACTAGTGTACGCATCTACTATGTACGTGTGTATAAAGCAAAAGTTCATGCCCCAAAAATGTGATAAAATTACAAAGTGACATTCGTGAGAGCGAGAGTAAAATACAATAACTATATGCATTTATATGTAAATGTGTATTTTTCATATCAAACAAAAATCACTGTAAACAAAAATGCACTTACCACACGTCGCACACACTCCTTTGTAACCAACATGCGTCCAGAGCTAACCCGCAATCGTAGTGGAAGCTGTGACTCAAGCAATTGCCGTCGTTTCTGGTGCGCAGCCTCAAGGGGGTGCAGTGAAGCGATCGCTGCTGACAGCAAGTGAGTGGCAGCGGTGAGCCCGCTGGCAAAATTCAAGCCGACAGTCACTCACACACACACATAGATATGCAGGTAACATTTGTATGTATGTATGTATGTATGTATGTAACAAATAGTTATGCGCAAGTAAAATGTGTTAAGCCAAGTTAAGAGAGCGCAGTACTTGCACTATACATTATAAATATTATATGTACATATGTACGTATGTATGCATGTATGCTGTATTATTTTCTTTGTTTACATATAAATATATACATACATATGTTTGAGTGAGCGTCTTCACTTGTTGTTCCGTTTCAATTTAAAATTGTACCTGTATGAACTGTTAAAACTTCAAACAAACATACAGACACTGTCGTGTCTCACTGTTCAACAACAAAGTACAACAGAAAATAAAATTTCAGGGTATGTCCCATGGAAAACGAGACTTTGTCCAAATCTCTTACTTTTTATTTTTATTTTATTAAAAGATTTTTCTATCACTTCGATGGAATTTCGGTGAATCTACACATGCAACATTTCACGCGAAACTTAACAAGTTTTTACTAGCGAAGCAGAAAATGGACTCCAAAATTTGGTAAGATATTTATCGTGGTCGCATAACTTCTATTTAGGTTTGGTAAAGAACAACAGAGGGGCAGGATATGTAAGGTATTTGAGCACACCCGATGTTTGATAAAGAAGAAAATCTGCATGGCATTCAATCAGCAATGGATAAAGGGTCATACCAACGTAGAGAAGAGCTTTGTATATTCATCAAATCAGAGACCGCACAAAGAGTGCAGTAGCACAGCTGGTAACGTTGTATGACCAGTTCAACCTCACTTAAACTCCGCATGCGTCATTTTCAATATGACGGCCCGAGGCATTTTGATTGGTCGAAATCAAATTATCCTTCGAGCGAATATGTAAATGGAAGTCACACGGAAGCAAATCAGACTTAAACCTCCTTTTTTGCAGCTCATTTTCTGCTTCACCTACAGAAGCCTTTCACTTTTGTCGTGCAAGCATGGTCATGCTAAATAAGTCTCCTTTTCCGTGGGACAGCTTTTGCATAGACGTAAAAATATACATGTATGTATGCATAAACATATGTATGCGTCACGAGCTTGTAACCTTTTCTACGTAGCGGTGTGGCTTCTAAGTGATTTTTCTTAAATTTACCATTCAGTTCGCGTTAAGCATTCGGCGCGTGCGGAATTAACGAAAATAGTTTTGGTGTTGAGAAAATTAAAGGAAACGCGCTCATATGCAGTAATTTATTTTTAAAATAAAGTATTTAAATTTTATTTGTACTACAAAGTAAAAGTATCTTGAAGCTAAAAGTGTGTCATATAAAATCACAATTAAAAATATTTCATATTATAAAAGTGAGTACTGAAATTGGAGTCCATAAGTTTAGGTGAATACATACATACGTAAGATCTTTACTTAATTTTTTCATTTTTCAATTTTATATATTTAACTCGATTCCACTTCTGATTTTTTTTCTTTTTTTTTTACTTTTTACATTCGCCTGTCCGGCGTCTTGTAACAATCCACAGTCGCGCACGCGCTGTTGCATGCCACAAACTGGTCTCTGAATGACCGTATTCCAATTGCATTTACATACTAATCAAAATACTATAAAATACTTACCCAAAATATAGTGAATTCAATAAAAAAAATCTGCATATGCCGGCTGTGAGAATGAATATTGAATGGTTTTGTTTTTAACTTTTAGCAAATACTATTTATTTTTATATATAAATGTATATATAATTGGCGCTTTGTAACCGCTGTAGCGATTTTTCGGCCGAGCTCCTCCTCCAATTTGTGGTTTTGCGTCTTAATGTTTTTCCTACAAATGGAGGGACCTACAGTTTATACTAAGCCACCTCCGAACAGCTGATGGTTTTTTTATGAGGAGCCTTTCTTTCATGTCCAAAATACACACCGAGGGGTGGACATTCCCTGCCGCAATGAGAAAACTTAACTTAATTTTTTTAATTAATTTTCTATAACTTTTGAGTGTTGGTCGAACCAGTACTCGGATGCTAGTCTTCCAAATGGCAGTACACAATTGCAATCACTCTGCTATCGCAGCCGTCAAATTGTTATTACTGAGCTGAAAAAAAAGCATTTGTTTAATATAATAATGAGCCCTTAAATCCTTCCTAAGTAACTTCCTTGTTCGAAGCTAGTTGAGCTCGATCTAGTTATGGTTTACAATGAAAATAATTACTCTGCTGGTTGAAAACAGAGTACGAAAAAATTGCTCGTATCGTATTGCTCAAACGACATCCGCCTTGTAAGTGGATCGATCGGCCGCGAACCCATTTTAGTTCACTTGACTGGTATCATATTATACTTGTTGCTTGCCTGTGTAGAGCGAAGCAAAGCCAAAATATGCACTGCTTCGATCCTTCGTGATGTTGGTATTTACCAAACTCGATAACAATCAAAGTAAGGGAGAATATGTTGCATTTTGATCGATCGCAATTGAGTTTGTCTCTACTCCAGGTGGAAGATGCTGCCCTGCATTTTCACTGTCTACCGATATGGAAACGTGAATATCAACTCCAGCAACTATATTAGCTTTACACTATTGGGTGCTTCCCATATGTTCCGTGCTTGCATTTTTCTCTAAAAAATTTCGTATTATTTTGAGAAGAAAGTCATCAAATGAGCTCCTGTGGCATCAAAAATTTTTAAGATTTTTCATAACAGAAGCAACCAAAAATTCCCCTCCGCCAAAAAACTGCTTTTCTAGAGTTTTTTCATCACATACATATATATGTAAGTACTCCTTATTGACCGCTTGACCTGTTGGCAGGTATTCATGATGCTTCATGCCGCTGTTCTTATTCACAATTCCACTAGTTTGGGGCAAATTTTGAGGTGACACTTTTCATACACAAAATATTGGAAAAGGTGTCATGACATGATGCAATCGATTTGCCAATAACAGCTGCGACTTCTCTAATTTTGCTTCGGCGGTCGTTCCTAACATTTTCATCGATTTGTTAATTAGCTGCAGCGGACACTGCCAGCTCCCGAATTTTAAAAGTTCTGTGTATTTTTTGAAATTATCTCGTAATTAGCTTCTATTATGAATCATCAAGGCGGCTTAAAAAACTTTAGAAAAACTCTAGACGCCCTACACAAATTGAAGGGTGAGCTCTGCCGAAAATCCTTTCAGCGATTATGTACATATGTATATAATTAAATATAATATAACATATAGACTCTATATAATTGGGTAAGCGTGAACGCCAGTTCAGTCACGATTGCTTGGAATGCAGCTAATAAAAATAATAACAAAATTTACAGCTTTCATCAGTAGCGAATTTCTTCGCAATTAAATATTCCACATCTCAAATCTATAACTATCCGCACTGGCTACCCCGTTGACTCTTTGCTAAGAAGAGGGTTATGTCTCCTGAGTGCACAATTATTTTGAAAATGGTAAAAAAACTCAAATGTTAATAGCAGCCGGAAGTGGAGTTCACTAACATTTATCGATACGACTTGTCGGGCCGATAGTGAAGGAAAAAAATTCCTTTGCTGCTTGCCACTCCGTTTGCGTCATGGGATATCTAAGACTCGTAAAAAAAATTAGAGTACAAAAACAAAAGTGCTATTATTCGAAAATTACTTTATTGTTCTTCAAAATATTCTCCAACCAATTGTCGAAGCATTTTTGCCAACCTGATTGGGGTTTCTCCAAAATAACCGCGCTGAACGCATCAACCGTAACCGTCTGGTATTGAAAAACGTTGAACTCTCAATATATTTTTTACGTACGGCAGTAAAAAGAAGTCATTCGGTATCAAATCTATAGTACGGTGGATGTATCATTAAATCGATGTTTTGAGCACTCAAAAATGCTGTTGCCTCAGTCGATGTGTCAGAGAACGCATTGAAGGTTTGAAGAGTGATCCGGTTGATTTTCCAGATTTCTCGTAAGACGACTGGCAAAGAAATAGTTGTCTTCCACTCAGAATTCACTGTTCTGCGTTGATATGGTGGCATCCATTTACTTGGAAGTGCGCTGTGTGCGTAAAACTCTTGTATTCGGTTTGGATTTAAACATCCATATTATTCACTTTTCCGCTCTTACGCGTAAATCCATAATTCAAGACCTCTCATGATGTCTCATTGACGTTTTTCGCAGCACTAATAATGTATTTTCTTAACATGTCTCTCGACCAATCGACTCGAGCCTTTGTTTTTTGTGCGATTAACAAATTGTGTGGGATCCAAGGTGAACATTTTTTTTACAGTCAAATCTTCGTTGAATATTGAATGTTATGCCTACAGTTAGCTGAATCTCACGATAGGTCACCTGAAGATCTTGCGATATCAGCTTGCGCACAGGCTCAATAGTTTCGGGAACAACAACTGATTTTGGACGATTTTTATGTAACTCGGCTTGAAGCGATCTACGACCTCGGTTGAATTTCAAACTTTACTTTATTTCTACCGACGGCGCTAAGAACCTCGAAATATTCACCGTTCAATTTGCGATTTATCGAGTAGTTACCACGAAGAGCCGATCACTCGATAGCGAATATCGTTAAAATATAACAGCTAATCCCCACACAGGCGTCCCAACAACTCCACTAGTTTTATTTTCCCACAAAGCAAATACTCCTCCCAATTGCCCAATTCTACTACTACTAATTTCCCTATCTCTTTTGAAGCAAACCAAACTGCATTTAGCAAATGCTTTTGTGGAACCTGAAGCCACCATTTGGGACACCCGTTACAGTGCGAATACTGTAAGCCCATCAAACCGCATACTTAAAGTTTTATTGTAAAGTTGTTACTTGAGTCTTTTTTATTACTCTTTCTTCATCACAATCGTATTTTACACAAACGCACAATAGTCATACGTGAAGTTGATGAAACTCAACAATTATTAATTCCTTCAAGTTCAATGTGCACACATACATGCACGTACATACTTAGGAACAAAGTTCAAAGTTAATTGGTTTTGGTTTATTAGCAATTGTTGTTGTTGTAAGTTGGTGACATTCCGCTAAAAGCCGATTCGTAAACAGTCCACTTTTCGCCCTGAGAAATCGGATGAAAACTTGTAAACAAATAATTATAGTGACGTAGTTTTTAATAATAACAATTACATATATACGTATGTACGCATACAAGGTATGCCAGTTGGAGCAGTTGTTAAATAAATATGTCTGTATGTACGTGTATGTTAGCACAACAGTTTAAATAAATAATTGTTGTTTGGTTCTTTGATGTTAACAAAAAGAATATGAACTTTAAACAATCTACACGGGACTTACCCGCTTCACATAGAGACGTGCATACTCGTACTTACATATTATATAATATGTGTATTTGTAAATGGTTACTCATATTGCACCCGAGTTGTACTCTGCACAGGCGACATATTAGAATTCTTCATCTAGGGATGTTATGTGGCAGCCAAGATTGTTACTAAAAATATATGATTTAAGCTAATAAACTTATTTCTTTTTTCTCTAAATTAATTATCTATAATTTGTTGTTCGAACCTAATCTTCCGTATGGTAGAACACACTGCTAAGCGCGGCCACTTAAACCATATTTTCCCACGCGGGTGGCCTTCGACACATAACTCCATGCTCTTATGATTGTGCTTAGAGCTTGAAACTCACCATTCCAAAAACCTGCCACAATCAAAAATCACAAAAATAAATCTCGGACGCCGGCCTGAGGACATACCTGGAATGTCCGGCATCCTAATTAGGAAAGTGTCGCTGCCCAACTAATTGACGTCCTTGTATAAATTTAAGCTGGCATCAATGCCGTCTAAGAAGTGCGACGGATAGGACAGATAAAAAATGGACCGGCCTTTGTGTAATCTACAGTAGCGGCTTCCTTCGTCGAATCCCGGTGGATGCATGTCTTGCAACATTTCACAAAAGCGAAGAAGAGATTAATGTAATCAAATATATTTCTTCGAGCGCCTGGAGCATACCTATGTGGGCTGCATGTCGATTTTAACAGAGGATACCTTCCCCTCGACACAATAGTTACAAAATTGAGCCTTCATGAAAAATATCTTCAAAAGTTCTGAGGATGATCGGTTTCGCTGATTTTCGGTAAAGTTCTGAGTCGAGTTATGCATTGGTTTGACCTTCGTTTGACCTATCCTAGGAACTATCGCATAAATTTCGGGTAAAAAAATTGTCAAAAAAGCATCGCGTAGTTTGAAATTTGATTTTCCATATAGATATGGTGAATTATGCATTGATGAGGTTTTGAGTCAGAGCTCCGTCAAAAGTCATCTAAGAGCATGAATTTCTTCATTTTGCAGCCGCGGAAGCCGAGTGCATTGCGTACTGCCATACGATAGGCTCGGGCTCAAAGCCGTACTAGCTAAATTTTCTAATTGCGGTCGCCCGCGAT